AATATTTAGAAAAATATATTGGGTTGGCAAGAAAGTAATTGCGTTTTTTTTAAAGGCATCTATCTATCAGTAAAAACTGCAATTACTTTCTTACCAACCCAATATAAATATATCTTGATAGAGTAAAGTTTGAGCTTTAAGAATCTCTTTTTTAAATTGCGATACGACAATTTTTAACGGAGTTATGAGCAATTAAAGTCAAAATGATCCTTTTATTTAATTCGCGATAACTCAGTAACCAAAAATCGTAGGAATATTTTTAAAAAACGATTTTGTAGGGAAAGTATCAAGCTTTCCTGATAGTCGAAAATTTTCTCAAATATGTTTTGGGCGCGTTACAAATTCACAAAGTGAGAAGAAAATTTTCCGTCTTTTTCAGCTCATAGTTTTTGGTATGTAAAAATTACTAAATTGATATTGCTTAAAAAATGTGATAAGCTTTTAAAAGTAGAGATTTCAAGCTTTAAAACTCTTTTTTTAAATTTAAATTTCACTCATTATCGACGAAGATATTGTATATACAACTTTGAGCTAAAAAAACGTAATTACTTTCTTGCCAATCCAATAGATCTGAAAATAATTTTATTGGACTATCAAAAAGATTGTGTAACTCAAGCTGATTGCTCGAATGTCAAAATTTTTTGTGGCATCATGAGTTCTTTAATTTGATGATTCAACAAAACTATTTTCAAGTCTGTATACTATTAGATATCAAAGAAACAATGGTAATCCTTTTCAAATAAATAACATTTTGTTATTTTTAATTTCCATCTGTGTTTAAATATAAAACAATTCATTTCTGTAATTAGTTTCAAAGTGTCCATATTACATAACACTTAGTAAATAGTAATTTGAATCAAATTTAATTCATTTTCTTGAGTTAAAGTTCATTGTTTTAATTAAATTAACAACATATTGAGTAGAAACAGTGGCGATACAAATTACAGATACGATTAAAAATAATTCAAATTAGGTATAATTTGACATTACTCTTTATAGCTGAATCAGTGAATCTCTGATTATCAGTCCTAAGTATTAGTAATTATTAAATTCACAGTGAAATTCAACTAAACATTAATGAAACATGGAATCCCTAACTAATCTTGCTTTAGTGTATATAAATTCAATGCATATGCTATTGGAACTACATTAACGTATAAATATCGGTATTTTATAATTACATAATATTCAAACTTTCTTTTTCAATTGAATTTCACTAATTATTCAATGGCATACTCAATGGAGACTAATATATGTAATTTGATATCCATTGAGTCAAATTTAGAGAGCACGTATTTAATTTTAAATTTTAAAGAGAGCTAAATTTTATATCTAAATTTTTAGATACTTCAGCAAAATCCCTTTTGCATGAATCATTGTTTATTACTGACGACTCTAGGCGACTATCCTATACTCCAGCCTTCACCCAGTTAACTTTACTTGCCCATCGGAAATTCAATCGACGCGCAAAAACTCTGTACGGAGATACATTTTAGCGTTGTCAGCTTGGACGTCGACATGAAAAATCGACGTAGAGAAAAAAATATCGTTCTCGTGAGCTACGAATTAACTCCGGAATTTGCCATTACAACGACGATGGAGACACGCGGCGAAATGTAGGACACGAGTGGTCCGCGTGTCGCGAGCGCGCGCCTGAAAAGTACAATTGCCAGGATAATTGCTGGAATTAGCATGCAAGCGGGCAGACTGTATTAGCGGCGTGCAAGACGTGAAATCATTTAATCCAGCTTCGGTACGTCAGCGTCAACGAGAACCGCTGCACTCGTGTCAAAATGATGACGGAGGAAAGTGGGAAAGAGAGGTTTATTTCATTCGCATTTTTTTCTTCTTCGTTCGAAATATGACGTGTTCATCTTTGCGAGACGTTCGCAGAATCTCGAGGCTCCTTCGCGCGCTTCTATCTTGGAAACGACGAAGCAGAAGCTACTCGACGCATCCACGTTCCCTGCGATAACCACGCTGATACCTCGTTGAGCGTTGGCGCGTTTAAAAACGCGCTCGAGAGCGAGAGAGCGCGGCGTGTGCACTCACGGCATATTAGATTCTTATATATCCGTGCCAAGGATAATCACATGAGTCCCGGCCATGTGGTTCCCGGCCTCGCGCGCACGAAGAGGATCCACCGAGGCTGCTCTTATCTACACTGCTTGAAGTAAGGAGAAGCGAATGATTTACGAGTTCGTTGGACCTATCGCCGCGCCTTTCGACCGCACGCCATCGTTGCGCGCATTTCCTGCGCGTTACATCGTCCTGGACTTTCCTCGATCGCATCCTGTTTTTACTTTACAAAGTCAAAAGACCTGCCAGGGGGTCAAACGTGTAACTTTTTCTCCAACGCGGGAAAGTGAAAATTTTTTGTACGCACACAGAAAACTATCATTCTACTACTGCAAAGAAAAATCGATTACTCAATGTATTTTCTTCCTTTTAAGTAACGGTTATTTTTAATAAAGAATATTTCCTTGATAATCTTAAAATATACTTATTACTAACAAATTAAAAAAAAAATTCATTATTATGAAAACGAAATTTTTTTTTAAATATATAACTGATCGAAGAAGCGACTTTGTATAACAATCAAATTGAATTTATTTTAATTTAATAATCTTGATTGAAGTATTAAACTTATCAGGATTGAAAATAAATTTGATGCTTGTTATGAACTCATAATAGATTTATGATGGACATTTAAAATACTTGAAATAAGTAATTATTATTTACATACAGTAAGTATTTTTCTGTGTGTGCTTTTGAGGCTTCCACGGGTATTTACTTCAAAGATGCCAGAAGGTTTATGGGTTATCGCCGTGTCGTGATCCATTGCTAATGACATTAGCAATGGATCACGACACGGCGATAACTCGCAAACTCTGGCATTTTTATGTATGTGGGTATGCACATATACACATGTACAAAAAAATTTTCACTTTTCATCTTTCCGCTCAAGATAAAAAATTGAATGACTGCCTGGTCTACTTGAGGCATCCCGAAATATTACAGACAGTTATGATAGGAAAATGTGAATAACTCTCGGCTTCCGTCCATCTTCCCGCATTACGAATAACGGATGTGCTCTGGCGTGAGCGAATTAAACCGTTTATATACGGATTATGCATTTTAGACTTCTGTTTCAAGCACCAATGTAATCCCGGCACTAATCCGATGTTGCCCGCTTTAGCCGCTTTCCACGCATGCGTTTCCGTCTCGTGTAAATCAACTAAATTTGATCCGCATTAGATACCTTCCCACATAATATAATGTAACGCGCAAACACAGCTCACATCGGGCTGGCTGTCGATCGCATTTCGTTACGTCATAGCTTCCAGCCTCGCGGATATAATCGTTAGACGAACATAGCTAAAAATCTATGTGTAAGCTAAGGATAATCCTTCTGAGTGCGATATAACTTGTCGATCACAATGATACATTACGTTTTGCGCGGATGAAACAAGCTTTAAGCGGATAACCCAGAAATTCCCGAAATTAAACCCGATCTCATTTGCGCGCGCCTGACAAGATTCGCCAAATTCCCGAGGCTCTTCTGAAATCAAAGTAAATTCCTGCGGAAGCTAACCTGGATTTATACGGGGCCAATAGGCTTCGTTAAATATGTACGCCGGAGTTTGCCCAACGTCGGCCGAAATTCCCGCGTCGACCGATAAACAAGCTTCCAACCAAGAAAAAGTGGATTTAAAGCGGTACCGAGAACCCAGCGTTATGAACGTAGCGTGCGCCCTGTATAAATGGATAAAAGTACGTGCCTTTTATCGAATAATAAGTACAACACTTTAGTATTATGAAATGCCATTTTATATATGTACCTGAAATCTACTTAACTTTATTTAAAAAAAAAAAGAAAAAATATCGAATCACTCCCATCCACTTTTATGTGTCGCAGTATTGCATATTTGCGACCAAATATAAGTACGAATAATTAAATATACGAATAACTAAATACGAAAAAATGATTTTGTTGCAGTTAAATTTAAAAAAGCCAGATATAAATTTGAAAATAATTTTGTTTGGACTATCAAAATAATTGTAGAACGCTCAAACTCACTAATAGAATGTTTTTGCAGTGTTGTCATCAATGTTTAACATTAGAACATATTGTTACTAAGTAATACAGTATTGCCATCGTGACGTAAATTTTACGTATAAAGAAATAAACCTGTCTTGATTAATATAACAAGTTTTTCTATATTTCACACCATGGTTATCACAAATTTCTTATCCTAAAATTCCATAATAAATTAACCTTTTTCTAATTTGCTCAAAACAATGTGGAGAACGCTCAAGAAGATTGGCAAAATGTTAAAACTTTTTACAGCATCATTCATCATGCTTGAAAGTCCTACGTAATTATTTTGACGATGCAACAAAATCATTTTCAAATCTGTATCTAGCTAATGGTGCGATTCACTTAACACTGCAAATACTTTGAAACATTATTTGATTGGTCAATTCGTAAAAGTCTTTCTCCTGATTGATCAACGAAGCATTTGCAACGAAGTGAATCGCAGCTAAATTTTTTAAGACTTCAGTTCTTTTTCTAGCAAAATCGTTCCTTTCCGTGTAGTTTAGTGCTCAATGCTCTCGCTCATTTGTATGTATAAAATTTACACAATATAGCATTCTAGGATTACTTTCAGATCTACATCTAGCTATTATAAATTTTTAAATACTTTAGTAAATCCATTCATTCCGTGAAGGAACGTAAAGTTTCTAGGGTAGCTTTCTCCTTTAATTCGCAGCTCGACGTGCCGTTGTTGATTTTCGCGATTCAATCAAACTTTCGAGAGTCGCCGATGCTTTTCTCAACAATAATTGTTCGACATTTGCCGCGAGAAATTGCGAGGAACAGACTATCGTGTTGGCGGCGGCGACGACGACGTCGACGACGGTAACAAACGCTCGCAAAAATTATACGACGCAAGAAAAAGCGATGGTCGGTTACTATCAACAGAATGTTCACATACCTGTGGACAACGTTAGCCAGGAGATCGTTGTGTCGTAACCTGTAATCGACGTCCACCTTTTGATAGTTGACCGTCAGGGTGCCGGCGCGAATACATCTCTCGTATTCCTCGGCTGGATGGGCACGGAATTCCCTCGCGAAGACTTCCAGGATCTTCTCGCCGACCCATCGACCTTTCGTGAATGTCGTGAAGGTAAAGTAGTAAGGATATACCTTACGGAGACCTGAAACACACAACGCCGGGAATGACCATGAAGACCGATAAGAGAGAGAGAACGATAATTACTTCGAATTCCGTAAGCCGTCTTTAAATGTCACGAGGTTTAACGGCTTATATTAGTTACGTTACGAAATGATTCGCGCGATTGCCGCAGGCATTCGCCCGCAATTAATCGGAGATTAGCATCCAAGTTGGCGCCCGAGCGTACTCCAAGGCGAACGTGAATTACGAGAATATAATGTCTTCGAAGCGGAATCACATAATAAATCACTGCAACGGATACGTAAAAATGTCGCTGTTATTTGCGAATCTATTATCGTCGTGCCGTCCCAAGGATGATTGCTTTTGCGGGTGAAATTTACGTCAAGATTAACATAAAATCGATCGCTTCTTTCTCTTTCGTATCTTTCCCGGATAAAAGAAAAAGAAAAGGGCATATTTAAATTTCTGGGAGTAACATCCTGTTACTCCGATAGCGATTGACTTGGAGATTCGTGCTTCAAACGCTTCTTCTGCGAACACGTATTTTCTGATTTCGCTTTTTCCTCTCTCTGTCTCTCTCTCTCTCTCTCTCTCTCTCTCTCTCTCTCTCTCTCTCCTCCTACATTAAGTGGAAATTAATTCGTTCAAATCATCGTTACGTGTCACCTTCAAATGAGATTTTCGCCCAGAGAGAAAAGCGAAGCTAGTTGGGAAGTTGATTAATAAGCCCGGATAAGGGGAATAATTTTCTCAGCTTCCTCGCGAGAGAGAAAGATCAGCAGTGCGAGGTTAATGAAAGATATACAGCACTTTATAAATTCAGTATATCACTCTCGCTTGATTAAATAATTTGATATCTTTAAAAATTATTCCCTGATACAGACTCATCCCGTGCGCGTTCCTCCGTCACTCTCGAGTATAATTTTATTACTCCCGTCGATACTGAAACAGTTAAATCGAGTGGTGGAACAGACATAAACGTTCTGTTCGTCGTTACCGACTTAAAAGAGACACTTCTAAGAATTTTACGACCTCGAAATGGCTTCCTTCACTGTTCATTGGCCCTGAGGATAGTTCGCCACGTTTCAGAACGTGCCGAGTTTCACTTGGACAAGTCTTTCGCTTTAGGATTCGTGTCGAGCGAGTTTTGCTGTTATTTTCCGGCGAAAAGAAAATAAATATCAAAAGAAAACTTGATTAATGTCCCGCCGCGCGCCTTCGATCCCGTTAAAGTCCCATTTTTCTCATAAATATCCATTAGAAAAGTGTTATTTCAAAGACAGGCTGCCTATAAGGAATTAACGAACGTCTTACATTTGAAATAAAAAGAGCATGGAATTATTCCGCCCTTCATATTGCGTTTAGCATAAATGTTTTGTTAAAAAAAAGAGGAGATATTTTTACTCAGTCAATATGTATTCCTTGACAAGGAATCGCTTCGGTTCGCTGTTGCAACTTGTTCAACCACATAGCCTGGATGGAACAATTAATTTATTCCAGCTAGAGACGAGTCCTTGCGGAAACAGAAATAACTGGAGTTGTGCGGGCATTGCACAAAGACTTCGCAAGTGATCGACGAAGGAAAATTGGAGGCAGAGAACAAAAACACATTCGTGTCAAAGAGACCGCACGCAGTTGTATTCCACCGGATAAGCTGGCAAGGGTTGACCTTTGTGTAAGATCGAATCGGCGCGGAGAATATCCTGAATAAACAGAAACAGTTCGCAAAGGAAAAGAGAAAGCCCTTGTATTCTCGCCCGACTGAAGTTACTTTAATTAAATTGCCCTCAGAATGTCAACGACGGTACTTGTGCAGCACTCTTCGCCGGAAGTAAAGGAGGCGGAGGTCATTTAACAATCGAAATGTCTCGAAAGAGCTAGCCATGCTCTCTCAGGGCGTACGGCAAGGATCCAGTGAACGATTGATCCCTCTCGGGCTTTCGAGCTTTCGAGAAATAGAACCATCGGGACGCGGTCGTTTAGTCAAGAGCTTCTCGAGAAACGGAAGGAAATCGTCTTCGCGCATACGAGGGAAAAAGAGACGAGAGAGAGAGAGAGAGAGAGAGAGAGAGAGAGAGAGAGAATAGGCAGTTTGCTTATAGACCGCGTAAAGGAGAAAAGCTTTCTCTCGACATCGTCGCGATGAGAAATACATCATCTTCAGCGAAAAATTCGCATTATGGAAACGTCAGAAGTGCGCGTTGATACGAATTGACAATAAAAGAGATTTGCTACTAACATTGTCGACAACGCAAATGGAACATTAATTGGAACTTATAATCCTTGATTTAATAAGAACATATAACAATCACTGAAAAGTATCGTACAGTAACGCCGCAATTAACGGTAAAAAGTCACTTTTTCCTCGGTTCGTTTATTCTCAGACGATCGCGGATTCTATCGAATTGTCCGTACAATCATAGCTTAAAGTAATTACGACGCTATTACACACCAATGAGACACGAACCGTCGTATTCATTGCAGCGGGCCAGTAATTGCTCCCGATAATATCGAGATTGTTCCCGAGGTCCCTTGACATCTTATCCCTGACAACCGCAATACTTTCTTGCTCCCTTTGTTTCTTCCCGTTTGCAATATCTCCGTTCTCTCCGCGTTTTGCTCTGTAACATTATCCGGCGCTCTCTCGATTTTCCCGTCGATACTCTGTGCACGGAAAATCCGTCGGCACGCCCGCAGAATTTCGCCACAGAAATCTGTTCTCCCGACGGCGAGATATCCTCTCGGCCCTTGTATCCTGCCAATGTACGTGGGAGTTGATTTTCGAGAAACACTGAGCCGGAAAAATGAAAACGTCTGACGTAAATAATTTGAGAAAGGAGCGTCGTTTCGAGAGTTTTATTGTAAAAGAACGCGATTAAAATCACCATAATCGATAAAGTCATTCTATTCTGTTGTTCAATGTCATTTTAATGATATCATTTATATTCCATGCTTTAGCTAATTTTAAATTGAACCTTAATAAAATTAATCATCGAGATACTCGGCGAATAAAACATATATGAAGAATATAAACTAAGTTAAATTATGCAATAGTTAACCGAGCTATAACATCAATTTTTAAATTCCCGAATAATGTCATTTCTTAACTTCCATAAAAACGTTTTTAAACTTTATTGTTTTATTTCGAATATTATAAAAATATGTAATTACTTCTCTATGTTTAACATGAAATTGCTATTAAAGGTTAAATCAATCTCAAATCTCCCCCAAAATAAAGTGGCGTTTACTCTGCATTTTATTCAAACTCTACTAATTTTGTACAAAACAGAGTAATTCCTGATATCGATTATCGACCACATCAAGCTGTGCTTTCAGAAAGTCAGGGGAGAAACGAAGCCACGTCTCGCCGTGAGTCAGCTCACGGGTTACGGAGGGCTCGAGGGGTGACCCCGAACCTAAACGTCCCGCCCGTCTGGAACGACGCCTTGTTTTACGAGTAGCAAACCAATGGCGGTGTCGTCGTAGGCCGCTTTGGGTTTCATTCGCTATCGATCGTGCCTACACACAACCTGGCACTCTGCGGCTCGTGTATACGCACGACCGCTTTTACAACGGGAGTAAACACCCTCTGTTGCAATTCGACTCGCCCGACTCGCATTTTTGCGGCGACCCTTTTCACTCATCCTCCGTTCAAATGCTTTGCGCACAGTTCATCGCGACAACACGACACTCTCATGACATCATTAACCCTACATTACTAGTGGGGCTTTTGTTTAATTGTGAAAAAAATTGCGTTAAATGTGTGTAAATAGCATTCATATATTTGGAAAATTTACTTAAGCCAAGCTATCTTGGATATTCCACGAGAGTAATGAAGAATTAATCGAATTATACAAACTGAAGATTTCTTAGAAGTTGTGAAAAAAATAGTTTCTTTACTCTCTTCTCGGAAAATACTACCGCTTTTTCATTTTTGTACAATATTAATTTATATAACAGCGATATTTCAAAAATACTTTAAGTAATTTAATAATTAATTGAGTATATCTATTTGTTTCTGGGTAGAGATTTCATTTATTTATCTACTATCGGATATAATTCACGATCGGACGAAACAGGATCGAAGAGGACCTCAGCAGTGCAGGAGAACATCCCGCGGGAGAAATCCAGCGAAAATAATCGCACGTCTCTGTGAAATTCATGGGCGGTGTACTAGAAGCGGTACTGTGGATATCACTAAATATTTGACACCGAGTTTTCTGAAGGAGACTGTAAATACCATTTTACGACCGGAAAAGTCTTTAATGGCATTACGCATGATATGTAAATGTATGGTAAACTTGACGTATATATATATATATATATATATAAAACACAGTCGCAAAAATGCATCGCCACGGGTTGTGTTGTAAAATGTGTGCGCGCGGAATCTATACATATAAACAGAAACAATCTTTAAATCAGAATACAATCCATACTCGTAATGTATTCCTTTCCGTGCTTCAACTGTACGCCCACACACCGAAGGATTTTCCTATTTTTAAATATCGTCAATTTTTCCACTTTTTCCTTTTGCTACTCAAATTACCTATATAAATTTTGCACCCATCAGGCATATATATCGATTTACTTGCTTACTTCTCGTATAGCATGGATCCGTGCGTTTCATATCTCTTGGAAATCGGCCATCTTGTTATACACATCAATCCGTTACATTTTATTTCCTGATATCCGTACATTCGAACAAACGGCGATAATAAAATATGGCTTAAACCGGTCGCGATCCCACTCTCGAAATACCGTATCGATCTTCACCCGTACATGTATAATTCATAACTCCCTGGCGCGTTTCGCCTTCCACACAAGAGGGAGGGAGAGAGGGAGAGAAAGAGAGAGAGAGAGAGAGAGAGCTTCGCATATTTTCGAGAAGTGTGTGTGTTCCATGTGCATACATATACATATAAATATTTTATCATCCTAAATCCTTAACTGCTCTGTCGTCAATCGTCAAGCAAAAACCATCAGTTATTCATTTCGCATAACATGCGTAAAGCACGTATC